AGACATATTCTATCAACTAATAGAGCTATTTTTTTAAAAGGTAGGACAGAAAATGACTTCTATACTTTTAAAATTTGTCCAAAATTTAGGAGGTCTTTAGACCAAGCCAACTATATATTAATAAATAAAAATTAATATATCTGAATAATATAAATATACCTATATTATTAAATAAAAGGCCATATCTAAATCATTTCAACTCACTTGTTAATAATACAAATGGAATCAAAAAACCCATCCACATGACATGATTAATTATGAATTAGACTTTTATAACAACCAATCATATAATATACATTTAAATTTGTTTAATACATAACTTAATAATGTCATTTTTGTTGAAAAAATCTTTCTTTCAGCATTTTTTATGAACTTTATTAATGTCAAATACATATTTCACTTTTGGCACTTTTGGCTTGTCGTTCTCTTTGTTCCCTTTATAATCCTTACGATGAGAGTAAATAAAATAATTAAGAGCTCCGGTTTCAAGTATATTGATCAGCACCTTATCTTCCGCTTTCATCTTTTTCACTTTTATCGTTTTCATTTTCGTTTCCGTAGCTTTCTCCACATCTATAATATTAGTATTAGTAACATTTTCCCCTTCCGCTTCCAAAGTTTTTCTCTTTTCATCTTTGAGATTTTTTTTCATAACTTCTTTGATTCTTTCACAATTACGATGTTTTAGAATACAATTTTCCTCCGTTTCGGTAATTTCCATGATTTCTTTTAGGATTGGTTCACTTTCAAAGACCCCTTTCCCAAAAAGATATTTTTTTACATCGAGAAGAAATCTCCGAAACTTTTTAAATGATTTACCTTTTAATAGATCCTTTATATGTTCTTCCTTATCACCAATGTAAGGAGTTGAACACCTATTAAAAAAAATCACAGGTGTATTTATTATTATACATCTAATTGTCAAAAATCCAAAGTAAACAAAGTTAAACAAATTTGAACCTATCGTAGCACAAATTGCTTATGTGAAACTTTAATTGGTAAGTGATAATAAATATTTGTGGAGAGTTGAACATAAGATCTGTGTTAGTATAATAATAATAAATCTTTACCAGTTGACGTAATGAACGGGTGACACTTAATCCCGAAATGGACTATTGGTGTTTGATAGACATTACATGCATGGAAACATCATTCTAATGCAGCAGAAATATATTTAATTGATAAATTGTGATATTATTTTACCAAGAGGGGGACATGTCATCAACCATGAATTATAATTTTGCGTTTCAATGAAAGATTTTATAAGTTCAAAGCATATGCGTACAATTGCGACTGATATGTAA